TAGAAAAGAATAGCCTCACGTAGCACTTTATGGGGAGTTGTTTTTTCTATTTAAAGCGGCTCTTATAGAAAGAGAAAGTATGCCCTATTTGGGTCACCATATGAGAATGGTGGCTCCTCTAGAAAGACAGGGGGGTAGGCTTATTGTGCATAAGATGCAAGGTTTCATCTTAAGGAGAAGATAGTTTTCTATGGAGAGAAATATTGATGGTGCCTATTGTAGACTCTTGAAGATTGAGAAGTTGTTTATTGTAGCAAAGTGGTTCCCATTGAGATTTTATTGTAGACTTTTGAAGATTGAGAAGTTGTTTATTGTAGCGAAGTGGTTCCCATTGAGATTTTGAGTTGTTTCTCTTTTTAGTGAGAGTAAATCTCATCTGCTCTCAAGGTTCTCTTTCTAGACAGTGGTCGTCAGTAGTCGCCTGTCTAGTTATAGTTTCTTCTAGACATTAGTCTAATTATAGAATAGAGATAAGAGACTGGCGAAATAAAGTCTTGTTTGCTCTCAAAGTTCTCTTCCTAGACAGTGGTCATTTGTCTAGTTATGGTATCTTCTAGATATTAGTCTAATTATGGAATAGAGATGAGAGATCAACAGTAGTGCCGTTTGGGAGAGCATGTCTAAAATGGTTTATTCAACTGCGTTTTGTAGAGGTTAAGAGAGGCAACTCTATGTCTTCGTGCTATTTGTTTTTTAATGATATGTGTTTCATGCTTTATTTATCCTACTTTATTTGTAAAAAATAACCCAATCAGGTTTAGCGCTTTCGTGCACAACATCCCTCGTAGTGATTCTCCATTTGCTCTTTCCGTGAATGATAGTGCGAAGTGAATCTCTCTCTCTTGTTGCTAGGAGAGAATTCTCATTCTCTCTCTTCAAACAATGCAAAGGAATTTCCCTCTCTTCGATAAATGAGAAATCTCCCTCCCTGCAAATGTCGGTGAGAAATCACTCTACCAAGTTCTCTCTCTACTTGTTATGGGATCGCATGGGGCCTGGGCTCTCTGGCTGCTCTCTCTTTAGGATTTTGAAGGGTTTTCGGGTGCATATAAAGAGGGGTGGGGGTTTTAGAGCGTCATAATAATAGCGTCAAAAGTGAAGGTTTTCGAGGTGAGCTTCGTTGAGACTTAGATTCTCATTACAGAGCTTCGTCGAGATTGAGTTTATCGATTTTGTGCTCGTTTTTCTCTAAAATAAGTAACAATTGCTTGAAAAAACCCACCTCACATAGAAACACCAGACCGTCTTTGAAGTGAAAATTGTATTCTTCAGAAGCCTGTAAAATGGGGCGGAAATCTGACTACGACCAAGTAGCGGTTGATCTTTTGGGGTTTAGGCTCATGGTTTGCCATTGCTTGAGCATCTGCTTTAGCCTCACTATTTGTTGAATTTTCTCTTCCTTTTTCAAAGCAGGAGCCGAGAGAGAGAGTGAGAGATTTTGTCTTCCTTTTCAAAGCAGGAGCCGAGAGAGAGATCCGGTCGGTCCACTATAACCTGCACCTGACCCGTGCCTATTTTGGGTTCATAGAGATGGGCTCGGACTTTACTTTTTGGGTCCAAATGCTGGATCCATACCCAGACCCGACCCGTATTGGGTCTATGTGATGGATCCTAGGTCCGGTCGGGGTCCTTTGCAACCCCTAAGTACTTTGCGTTATTATAATTGGAGACTTTGATGATCATGACTTCCATGAAACCTTATTCATGAGCTAGGCTTTAATGGATTTTGGAGATTTTAATGAGTGGGTTGGGCTGCATATTGTGGATTTAAATTGAAGGTGTTCTTTAAACCCTGGCGTGGGACTGGGTTTAGGTTATAAGTTTTCCAAAAAAAGAGCAAAGACTAGCCAATATGTTTGGCTCCAGGATTCGGCTTCATCATGGGTCGACTTGGCTTAAATGTAGGTTAAGACCAACTTCTAGATTTGACAGGTAGGATTTGGGTTCAAAGGTACGACTCGATTGTCTAGTTGGGGCCCATATATATTATCATATATTAGTGTTTGGAATTTATGACTCGATTGTCTAGTTGGGGCCCATATATATTATCATTTATTAGTGTTTGAAATTTATGATCTTATCCTTGATTTAAATTTATGATTTTATCCTTGATTTAGATAGGAATCACTTGGGCTGAGGGAGTCTTAGGATGGTATGGGGTCGGTTTTTCCCTAAACCCCCTTTTTATATATTTTTTTTCTTTTTGTTTTTAAGTTTATATGATGTTTTTTTAGGTCTTTTTAAATCCTGCCCTATAAATCCAAAAGCTAGTAACTTCTTCAACTCGCTTTTATTTTTATTTTATTTTATTTATTTTTCATACTTTTTGGATCATATCCGAGTTTTAAAATATTCTTATATATATATATAGTGGCTTAACCCTCATCTACGCTCTATATTTTGTTTACATTTATATATAATGGCTTAACCCTCATCTACGCTCTATATTTTGTTAACATTCCCCTATATATATAGTGATTTGATCCTCATCTACGCCCTATATTTTGTTTGGCCCAGGTCGTTTTTTAAACTATTAGCCTTACATCATTTCTCTGTCTCACGCTCATGTAATAGCATTTCTCTGTCTCACGCTCATGTAATAGCAAAATGATTACACGAGTAATAGATTATTAGGGCAATCTCGCTTTGAGTTAGGCTATCTGGCTTTGAATTTTGAGCCGTTGCATAACCTTCTTTTACCCCAATTGATAATGCAACGGGAAGAACTATACATTAATGAGAAGGAGGGAGAGCATGCCATGGCGAGGCTAAAGTGGCCATGGTGGTAGTTTGTTGGAAAAAAAGCAGAGAAAGTTCGAGCTGGCTTTAGCCCGGTTCCTAATTCTACAGGGGTGGCCCTGCCATGGTCAAGCCCTGATACAATCCAATAAAAAAAAGTAAGAAAAGAGGGCCGGGTCGGCCTTATGGTCACCTTAGTTCAGGCCTGGCATGGCCTGGCTTGGTCCTATCCTTGAGTCGTGGTGGGAACCGGTTCTCAGGCCACATCATGTGGCGGGGCCCAAGCCCTAGATTTTTAGTTCCCATTGCTAAGCCTACAAGACTAAATTGGCCGAGTCCTGGGAGCTAGGTCAAAAAACAGGCCGGTGAAAAGCGGAGTTTGGGTGGAAAAAACAATCTCTCACGAATGCTAGGGTCTCGCTCCAAGTCGGTGGGAGTTGAAAAAGTGGGGAGCTCTCAGACTCAAGACGAAGCAGAGAGTTCAAAGTGGAAACCGCGTTGAGGATCCCAAATTAGCGGGCTCCTCAACAACCACAATTGAGGATCCCAAATTAGCGGACTCGAATAAAGCCTCGACAAACACAACAGTCTCTATTCAAGAGAGTGAGACTACCACTAGTGGTGGCAATGGCCTGGGTCTAGACCTGGACCTGGGACTTGGGTTTAGACCCGGACCTGGGTCTAGGTTTTGGACCTAGACTCGACCCGTCGAGTCCAAAAGTTGGACCCATGCCTGTACCCGTCAAATCCAAAAGTTGGACCCATACCCATACTCGTCGAGTCTTGGGTCAGGTCGAGGTCCATTGCCACCCTTATGGTGAGCTTCTTTTTTTATAGCCTACAACGGTGAACAACATAGAACTGATTTTTGAGGGGTGGATAATTAGAGAGAGACATTCGAGATCTTGAGAGGGAGATATATCTCTAAGAAACTGAGAGAAAGAATTATAGAGAGGAAGGATGGAAATGGGGTTTGGCTCTTTGGAGATCTAGAAGAAGATGAAAAGTATTGAAATAATTTTAGGGTCGGGGCTTTGGCCTTTGGGTAAACTGAAAATTTGGGTTCGGGTACCAATCGAGTCGGGAATAGCAAGACCCATACCCTGACCCGAGACTATCCGGGTATCTTTTATTGGACCCGAACCCCACCCACGGGTCAAAAACTTCGACCCATACCTAAACCCCTGTCGAGTATACCTGACGAGTATGAGTCGGTCTAGATCCATTGCCACCCCTAACCACCGCAATAATTATTATTATTATTTTTTGAAATAGTTAGTCTGCCAGAATATTATATGCTCTAGCATGAGCATAGCTGGGGTAAAACTCTCCTAAAGAGGTTTTGAGGTATAAGCCACCAAATATCACCTTAACAAATAAGAGAAATATTGACGTTATTTGACAATCAAATAGTTGTTTACAATTTAATTTTCCTTTTAGTTATTTTAACATTAATTTTATTTCCTTGATGTGATTTCTAAAATAAATTCAAAAATTTCATACTAAATTAGTGTCCGAAACTGCATGTATTACCTTTCAAAAAAGGAAAAAAAGAAAAAAATTCATAAAAAGTAGCAACCTTAAAATGTAGAATTAAAGATGCATCTCAAAAATCCTTCGAAAAAAGTTGTTTTAATGTTGAAAACCTCTAATTGATTATCTAGATATCGAGATGTATGAATTAAAAAAAAAGAAAAATAAAAGATTTTGATTCTCAGAATCAGTACATCTTGTAACATATAATCTAGACCATCCATTTTCAAGATTTTCATATGTATATAGATCTATTTGATTTTAATCATTTTTGGAGTTTAATATTTTATAATTAAAGATGAAAAAATATTTTTAGATAATCCTAAGAATTTTTTATACTAAAATTACAACAAAATTTGGAAGCGCTTCTTAATTGGATTATTTAAAGTGACAACCTCAGAAACCACACCAAAAAAAAAAGAAAGAAAACTATCATACGAGGAAGTAAATATATAATATGACCCCGCAAGACCACAAGATACGCGGTCACAATTCCATCTAGGTTGTCGCACGCGATTCCCAGATAATGACAGAAGCCTACTTATGGATGGACGCACCTTGATGAGATCATCTTCCATAGTTTTAATTTAAGTCCTGCGCTCCGATCCCGGCGCCCACTCCACTGTGCCCAAACACAATAATCACTGTCTATCTCTACACTGTCACATTCTTAACCTCTCTCTACACTTTCTCTCGCTACCCTTCCGCATTGTTACTGCAGAGTAAATCTCTCTGCACTTTCTCTCTTTGTGCAGTCACATTCTTAACCTCTCTCTTCACTTTTTTTCTCTAAACTTTCACTTTGTTTGCTTCTCTCTGCACTGTCACGCATTGTTAGCTTCCAAAATATGAGTGCTCTGTCTTCGTTTCATTGTTCGGTTGGAGTGCTCTCTCTCTCTCTACTTGACAGGCTTTAAAATCGTAAATATCTTGACTAACTGCAAATCGCACACGCCTCGTCCCTGTTTGATTTATTGTTGACACTCGTTATAAGCAGTTTTCTGTCTCCTTTTCAGACTCATCTGTGTTTCATATTAACGACTCTGCTCTCCCCCCCTTTGAACAGCTTGCTGTTCGTCTGCAAAAATGGCTCTCCAAACCCACGATTAGTTACGGGATTCTGCGTTCTTCTTTTGCTGCTCCATGAAAGGGCTCTTTCCTTTCTCTTTTTTAATGGAAATTGAAGTCGAATTAGGGTTGTGAGGTCCAATTACTGTGTGGTGAGAGTTCTCAGGATGAAGTATAGAGGAGATTATGTACAGAGCAAGAGAGTTGTCGCTTCTTCGATTCTCGCTGCTCTGGTTTTTGTTGGGTTGATATGCGTTTACTATGGGTCTTTTTTTGCACCTCAGTTTCGAGAAAAGGAGGATTTTGATGGTGTCGACCCTGTAATTGGGAGAGTTAGAGCAGGAGAAGATGATTCTGGAGAGGGAGTGAGAGTAATTGATGCTCCATCTAAAGATGAAGAGTCTGGGTTTGATTCTAGTGACTTTGATGGCCTTCTTCCTGATCAACAGAGTTCTGAGACCTATAGAACCATACCTGTAAGCTTCTTCTGTTCCCTTCTGCTTTCATTTATTCACTGGAAATTGATATTTGGTTTTTAAGATCTGATTTTGAGGAAATGATGATTTTCTATGAAGGTATGTGTTGCAAGGCTTTCCGAATTGATTCCTTGCTTGGATAGAAATCTCCATTATCAGCTTAAATTAAAGCTGAATTTAAGCTTGATGGAGCACTATGAGCGCCATTGCCCTCCTCAAGTGAGGCGCTACAATTGCTTGATTCCTCCTCCTCCTGGTTATAAGGTCAGTCATATTTGTCTAGGCGCTGCCATTAATTGGTAAGGTGCTGGTTGGTTGAATTGAAGTGTTTCTTTTATTACTCCCTATCTAAATTTCTTTAAATAAGTGCTCAGAGCAATATGGAATGGAATTCATGAAGTAAAGAATAATACAAATTATATATATTCTCTCTTTGGATGAATTCAACTATTTTGAATGGTACCTCTGATGATTACTATACACATGCAAACAAACCCGTGCATACATAAGTTCATCTCAAAAACTTCAAAAAAAAAAAAGAGAATTCAAAAAGAAAGAAATGATTTATGATTGTAATTGCTATTACGAGCTGGTGATAGGAATTGACAAATGTCGCTGACTTTGTTTGTTGTAGCCTCTTATAAGATGGCCAGCAAGCAGGGATGCAGTGTGGAAGGCAAACATACCTCATACACATCTTGCCACTGAAAAATCCGATCAGAACTGGATGGTTGTCAATGGAGACAAGATAAACTTTCCTGGCGGGGGCACTCATTTTCACTATGGCGCGGATAAATACATTACATCATTGGCAAAGGTATGCAGTGTCTTGTCCGTTTATTTCGATACGTGTAAGCTCTTTCCCTGTTTTAACGATTTCAGGTTTCGAAGCATGTTGAATTTGATCCCCAACTCCCAGATGTATAAATGGGCATTGTATTCATATAGATGCTCAAGTTCCCTGATGATAACCTCAACAATGGTGGAAACATTCGCAATGTTCTTGATGTTGGTTGTGGGGTTGCGAGCTTTGGGGCTTATCTTCTACCCCTCAACATCATAGCTATGTCACTTGCTCCAAATGATGTCCACGAAAATCAAATCCAGTTTGCCTTGGAAAGGGGGATACCTTCAGCGCTTGGTGTTTTGGGTACAATGAGATTGCCTTATCCAAGTAGGTCATTTGAACTGGTTCATTGCTCTCGGTGTAGGATCGATTGGCTTCAGAGAGATGGCATTTTGTTATTGGAATTGGATAGATTGCTGAGGCCTGGAGGCTATTTCGCGTATTCATCTCCTGAGGCATATTCACAGGATGAGGAGAACCTCAAGATATGGAATGATATGAATGATCTTCTTAAGAGGATGTGCTGGAAAGTTCGGTCGAAAAGAGACCAAACTGTAATATGGGTCAAGCCAATGAGAAACAGTTGTTACTTTGCGAGAGCTCAGGGAACTCAACCTCCTTTGTGCACTTCAGATGATGACCCTGATGCAGCTTGGTATGTTCCCATGAAGGCTTGCATTACAGTATACTCCAAAAGTAAGTTCTTTCAAGTTCCACCATTTTAGAATAGTCTAGGAGAAGTCGCCTTGGTTGAAGAATGATTATTTTTACCAAAATTATACTATTGAATAAGTCTCCAATTATTGTAACCCATGTCCTTGGTTGAAGAATGATTCTTTTTACCAAAATCATACTATTTAATAAGTCTCCAATTATTGTAACCCATGCATCGAAGAGTTTGTGTGGTTGAAAATTGGAAAAATTGCCATGTTAACAATTAAAAAAAAAAAAAAAGAAGAAGAAGAGAAATGATTGATGAATAGTAAAACTTTAAACTCAGATATTTATTCTTATCCATTAAACGTGTGTCAGTGTCCATTGTCGTAATATTCAAATGGACATGCATGTATTTCATCTTGATACACTTGCGTGCATGCACATGTACAGAGATTCATCATCTTCTGTTCATGCATGAAAAAGAATATTTGAGACAGAGGAATGGACATGGATGCATACTCATGCACACTCACAACAGCACAGAGTGCATGGGCAGATGGATAAAAAGTTTCCATACACCTTTATATGAATGTGAATGGCACTGCTGATGCCCAATCGAGTATTTATCACGACATGAACTTTTATGGCATTAACATTTGAGAGTAGTTTCATATTTTCATCTAGGATAGCTTCTGGATCTCCTGCGAATAACATAGAACAAACTGTGCAACATTGTGCTTCAGTTGTTCTTAAGTATGATTTTCTGGGCTACATTTTTGTTACTGATTCCTGATTTCTTCTGAAATATCTAGCAACCAGGTCTATTGCTGTTTCATGGAATCCATATTTTCATGCATGCTTTCTATTTTTTATTTTTGTTGTATATTGTTGTTGGCTCTTTTATTTCTACCATTTGGTTGGATTGACAATAAGCTTCAACCTTATGGTTGATATTAATAGCTCCCAACCATATGGCTTAAGTGTTTCATCCTGAATGCATGCCTGTTTGTAGAACTTGCCTTCCTAATTGATTTCTTTGAGTTGGAATTCAGACATGCATCGTGCAAAGGGTAGTGGTTTGGTTCCATGGCCTCAAAGACTGTCAACTCCACCACCTCGTCTTCAAGAACTTAATATCAGCAATGAAGAATATCTTGAGGACATGGTTTACTTCTCAAACATTTCACATGTTCTTGTTTCATCCTCATGATTTCTAATCTGCAAACTCTGATCTGGTTTACAAACCGCTATGCAATGCAGGAAATATGGCGTTGGAGAGTTACACAGTACTGGAAGCAGATGAAAGCAGAAGTTCAACGTGATACGTTCAGGAATGTTATGGATTTGAAGGCTAATCTTGGTGGTTTTGCTGCTGCCCTGAATGATAAGGATGTTTGGGTAATGAATGTCATTCCTGTCAATGAGTCAACCAAATTGAAGATTATTTACGATCGAGGATTGATTGGGACAGTTCATGACTGGTATGCCTCTGAACCTGCTTGGTAGAACATATAATTGGATAATTTCTTTCTTGTTGATGGCTTGATGCCTTATGACTTCTCCTTCTTTATCTTGCACTGACTGATGAAATTGCCAATTAATTACTCCCATGTGTTGCATGGTTGATTTGTAGCGAATTCTTTCCAATGTAGTATTAGATATATCCTTGCAATATATCATAAAAATTCGATGATCATTTTTTGATGTTGATATATAATACATATCAACCAGTGTTCGGAAAACCGGCCGGTCGGAACCAGAACCGGCCGGTTAGCTCGCTACCGGTGGGGTGGCGATTCTGGTTAGGTCTGGTTTTAGTGTACTAGTAAAAAAACACATCGTCCTGATAAAAATCGGCTAAAAAACAGGCCGGTTTGGCCTCGAACCGGCGAATTTTTGACAAAACCGGCTGGTTTTGTAAAACCTGTCCGGTTTCCGGTTTGGCGTTATATCGGGCGATATAACAAAATAACGGTGCCACAGAAAATAACAACCGTTATTTGTAACAATGCCTGTTATTTGAGCAGAACCTGTGATCTGCCATTTTTTGCAGCTTTTTGATGCTTTTTCCTGCCTTTTTTTGTTTTTTTGGCTCAATCATTGTACTATACCTTCAAATCTTCTATAAATTCATCAATATTGAATCAAAAACTCCAAGATTAGATCGATTTTGGCGAAGTTTTGGTGCGTTTTTTGGTGTTCTTCAGTTTTTTATGAAAAATCAGCCATTCATTTGATTTTGGCCTGGTTTTTCAGTTTTTTTCAATAAAAAGTTGGGGATTTTAATGATCACAGAGATACATATATTTCAAGACTCCTGATTTCATTGAAATGGAGAGATTTGGGGCTTGATTTTGAGATTGAAGCAGACAAGGTAAGCCCAAACCCAATTTTTTTTAATTTTTTTCTTAATTTTGCAGCTTTTTTAGGCTTTTTCAGATAATATTTGACTAGTATTATTTATTGCAATAAATAAAAGAACGATTTTAGAACAACAAAAAAAAAATTTGGAGCTCAATTTTAGGATTTTAGGGTTTTTTGGAGCTCGATTTTAGGATTAAGGGTTTTTTGGAGCTCGATTTTAGGAATTTAGGGTTTTTTTGTTTTTAATGTTATATAATATATATATTTATAAAAAAATGTTTTTTGTGATGAATATGAGAATATATATA